TACAGATATAAAAAGTATTACCTTGTTGTGCTTCCCCTAAGAATGTATAGATTTTGGAAATACGCCCCCTGGGCTGCTGAACTTTTTATATTCTTAGAAAATAAAATTCCTCTGTCGCAGAGAGAAAATCACGCAACCAAGCAGCTGTTTTTTGAATTGCTGACAATTGAGCTATGGAATAATACCGAAGGGAAGAGTGAGTCTTGGTTCACTACTTCCCTTTTCAGTTTTAAATTTTTATATTTTACTCTGTGGCAATGGCTATTCCAAAAGAATGAGCCACAAATGCTTGAGGCGATCAAAACTCTGGTGAGGAATAAGAAGTTTTTGAAATGTAAAAATAAAACATTATGATAAAAAAATCTATAGAAATGAGTACCTCAGGATAGGTTCCTAAATTCATAGCCTATTTTTTAAAAATAGTGACTTCTGTTCATTTTACTAGACTTTTTAGGACCTCAGCATTTCTGAATATGAGAGCATTCACTTAAGTTCCTATATTTAGACCTAAAAGCCTATATTTAAGCATCCATGCTTGAAAATCTTGGCCAGAATCTCTTTTCATTCACTTTTGAGAAAAGCCATTTAAGAAAATAAATATCTGTTTTTTACATACGGTTTACATTGTCAAATAGTGGTTTGTTTTTAAGATAAGTGGAAACAATATATGAATATTTGTGTTTTTTTAAATCGCGTGGTGAAACATTGAGTTTCCATTTGATGGGAAATGCCCACGTTTTGAAATGACTTTCTTTCACGTTAAGATATTAGCATGTCAGCATTTTCCATGTAGCAGAAACTGTGAAAAGTGGTATTTGGTGAAAATTCAGATGTTCAAAATCTTTGAAGTAAAATGACATAGGTAGTTGTCTGGACTTGGAGAGAAATTCTCTGGCTGTTTCAATATCTGTGTCTATAGTAAGGAATCTGGAAAACCTGGGGTTCAGAGTTTCAGGGCTGTCTGCTCTGGAACCAGGTACACTAGAAACCTTGCCTCCCTAACTTGCAGATTCACGTGAAAACTGGGAATTTTTCAAAATCTATTAATCTTTTAAAAGCAGTTTATCAAAATTGTCACGTTTTGACCTCTACTGCTCCGTACAGTTTAATATACTGACATCATTCACAGTATTGTGCTTTCTAGCAGTGTATTACATGATGTAACCAATTTCTGCTATGTGTAGTTCATTTACTCTCATAACATGTCCAGTGAGTTGAATGGGTAACACATTAAGAAGAAACACAATACACAGCTGTGCTTTGAGTTGGTTAAAGCAGGTGAAGTCAAAGTCCACTTCCCAATTGGAGTGGGAGAAGAGGAAGTTTGTGTTAGTCATCCATATCTCTGAGAGTTCATTCCAGGCTACCTTCAACCCAAGAAATCTGTCCTGCACCAAAGTCCTGAGGCTCAGAGAACTGGAAGGGTCCTGTGGGGTTATCCCATCTATGCCCCAGATATTACAGGGGCATATTACAGAAACCACAGCATACGAATCTTTTCCGTAACTTTATCTACCTTTATCATACGCTCAACCTCCTCTAGCAAACTTCACTGTCTTCAGCTGCTAGTTAAAAGATCTTCAGAGGTCTTACCACCCATCCTTGTACCCAAGTGATGGGCTCTCAAGTCTCCTTCTGAAAGACACAGCTTTCTCTCCCTCCCTTCCCAAAATTTTTGAACTGTAGCTGCTAAATGCATGCGAAGGATAGCTCTCCACCTGACTATCCCTTAACTTACCATAGGAGTAATATGATTTGATATCAGTTTTATAAACCTTGTTTCCCAAAATGTCTCTGTCCTTGAAAAAGACCAGTCTGAAGGATGGAATAGTTTTACTGGCTCCAAATGGTACAGCAGAAGATCCAAGTCTACTAAAATGTAGCTCTTAGTGGAGTCCTTCACAATATCTTCGATTGTCACCTCTAATTCTCACAGCCAATGATTCAGTCATGTTGACAAATGATAAAGGGGAAAGGAGACACCCCTATCTCATGTCTTTTGAGAAAGGTTTCTGATCTTAAAGCATTAACTCTTGTAGTGCATGGTGTTTGATCTTTAGGCTTCTGTATTAGTTTCACAAACACTTGGAAGCAATCCGTGTCTTTTAGGCTTAGTGTATTGCAGATACCATAACAGGTAAAAGATGTCATCTGTCTGTTTGCCAGTACTGTTACCTTCAGAAAGTCTTCCAGGTTTGAGTCTATGCTCTGTTCCCTTCTAGCACCGCACTCAAACATCACAGTCCACATAGCTAAAATCTCCTCTGGAGTAAGATTTTTTTCTGTGGCTGATGCATATTTTGTTGTAGATGTCAGTGGGTCGCTATTTGGTTTTGGAGATACATTGTTATAAGTGTTAATTTTCTGCTTTGTCTCTGATACATTCTTCCCTTCCAGCTGAATCTTTACCATGAGGCTAACAACTTGAAAGAGATTTTTGTGTAAGAGTACAACTACTCCTTTCTTTTTCCCAGTAGGCGCTGAACTAAAGAAAATGTCACCCACTTGCTCCCATTTAAGTTTCACACACTCTGGGTCATTCGGATAAGTATAAACTACTACTGAAAATCTGAGTGTCTTTATATCGGAATTTTATCTTTTCACCTGGTATATTTTATCCCCAAATATTTTGTATCACTTCCCTTTAACTAAATGATGATTTAAAAGAGTATGTGGCTTTCTTATTTTTAACTGATTTTTCCTCTTTGTATTCTACTTTGTAATATATGGATAAATGACCCTGAAGAAAGAAAAGAAATTACAAAAGGAAACCAACTGGGAAATACTTCCTCCTAAACACTCAACCCCTATACTCAACCCTTGCTGAGCAGAGGGACCTGTATGGAATGTGTATGTTGATATTCTACATGTATTTGCCTTCAGATACTTCTTTGCCAGTACCCAGATCCACTGATTTTGTACCTTTGTTCCTCTTGGCCCTTTCTCTGCTAATGAAATGCATTTCCTGATCACTGTTATTCCCCGATTTTTTTCTTGGCAAGGTGCCTGGTTACTGCGGAATCTGCATGAGCCAGGATGTCCTCTTCTGCTCTCCTGCTGGGCTGGTGAAGCAGACATAATTGATGTGATCCCTTTGGGATGGTAATGGGATGCTCAGCAACTGGCAACCTACAACACTCCCTCTCCCCTGCCCATTCCAGATCATGCTGGAGATTAAAAAAGCCTTTGTCTATTTGGAAAGGACATTGTGGCTTAGTGCTTTGGATACTGTTGAACTCGCATCAGCTGAAGGTGGAGCTGTGGGCTTATTCTGCCATCAGGGTGGTTAATCCACACATAAAGCTTCTGACCTGCCCTTCTTCTGCTTTTCCTACAAGCGTGTAATTTGATCCTCTTGCAACCAATAGAGCAGCTTCACTGAAATCACTGGGTATTGGATTGGTTGTTATGTGCAGTATTTCTAACACTGCAAAATCAGGCCATACATTGCTTACTGTTATTACAACAATCTGTTTCTGCTGAGAGGTGTGTTATGATACTATAAACCATTATATGTATTTTTGTGTTTTCTTGTGGACTTTATTCAGTGTGAAACAGTATTACTCTTTAAAGCAGAATGGAGTAGCATTAAAGAGAAAAGCATATATTGTTCATTAAGGCAGGAAATGGAGAAAGAAATAACCTTGATCTTTTGGGTTAATCCCAAAAGTATAATAGAAGTGTGTTGGCATAAACCGATATAGATTTCCTTTCTTTAAGTTCACACAGCAGAATGTAGTAGCATCAGTCATCTTCCACCTTAACCAGCCTCTAAAACTTAAATGTTCCTCTTTTTTAGATGAAAAATATCACCTGACAAGTACACCCATTTTCCCTTATTTCACAGAAATGAGACTCCACTGTTCCTCCCTAGGGATCAAAGGAAGGTTGAGCCAATGCCAAAGGCTAAATGGACCATCTGTCGTCTTCCTGGCTTTTGCAAACTCCTGTCCTTCTCTGCTGATTGTGAAAGCTGCTAAGCTAGGGATAAACATGGAAGACTCCCTTTTTACTACAGATCATAACCAAGATCTACTGGCAGGTTTTCATACTCCTATCACAGAAGCTGAATAAAGATCAGAATGTCGCTTACCCTTCCTCAAAGAGAGAAGCAAGGATAAGTGATTTAAACATAGTGTTTGTAATGTCAAAGCTCACATGTTTACAGAAAAATCCATATGTTTTGTCAGACCTTGCCACTCTTATTGGTATTGGCTAATCACTCATCCTTTTTCAAAGCATTTGACTTAGCCCAAATCATATGAGTATAGAGATGAACCTAAATCTGAGATTTTAAAATAAAACATTTTCTTTATTCCTGTTTTTCTTCAGCCCTTCCTCCCTCTTAGAAACAAGGATGTGGTGGGGAGATTTACAGTCTCCAGTCAGTTTCTTGAAGCCGTTCATTATTTTGGTGGCTCGAAGGCACTCTCTTGGGACATTTAGCTCTAGGTTACCACGGGATAGCTATTGATACCCCAAGTTTGCGCTGAAGAAGTGGTGCATGCAAACTCAGTGGTCCTGGAATGTCACCTCATTTAGGTGATGATAATTTTTCAACCTTCCCCACCACCCCCACCTCTCCAGAGACAACTGCTTTTACCACAGAGCTAAATTACCAGCTGCCCTAGAAACCTGGGAGTAATCACTTTCACAGCTCAAGCCCCCAAAGGGGGATTGACTTGGCTATCTTTTAAAGACTTGGTAGAAGGGACCAGATCTTGAGCTGTTATAAATCATCGCGTTCCAATGTAGTCAAAAGAACTATATTTATTTACAACTATCCGGAAACTGGTCCAGTATTTCTGGTATTATCGTGTTTGAATTGTAACAGTGTATCAGCATCTTGGCCACGAGAGTAGGGTGTACCACCAAACATGCTGTACGTTTTATCCTGCAACTCTAGACATAGTTAAAGCTTTATATTTTCTGACGATGTTCTCTTGCAATAAGAGTTAGAAACCTTTGGACCAATGCCTTTCTCTCCTTTCTTGTATCAGGCGAAACCCACTCCACTTCCACCTCATTGCAGATGCAATTGCCAAACAGATCCTGGCAACTCTGTTCCAGACGTGGATGGTCCCTGCTGTGCGCATAGACTTCTACGATGCAGATGAGCTCAAGGTAAGGAAAGACGAAACACATGTTACACGTGCACTTCTGGTTTCATCTTATCCCCTTTTTATTCATCTGTCTGGATTGGGGTGGGGGACACTACGTTCTCCTTGGTTAAAAATAATCCTAACCCACATGATTGTGTCCTCAGTTAAATGTAACTAAAAGATATTGACTTTCTAAAATCAGTGTCGTTTCTCTGTTAATGGAATATATTGTTTAGCAGCTTAGAATTTTGCCTGCTATCGAGAGGGCTCTGGTTGCCCAGGTTGAATTGCATTTGACCACATTATGTTTTGCTAGGGATGCTTCTTTCTAGTAGCAGTGGTAGAATCTTAAGTATCTCGTTCAGTAAACCCCAGGCTGTTACTGGAAACACTCAGCCTCCCTGCTTTCCTCTAAGCAAGGACATGTAACACCATGCACTCTGGTCTTTGCCAGAGTGCCAGAGCCAACACACACTCTGAAGAGGTATCAGTATTACATTTTGAAATAGCTACCTGCTTTATCTGGATGCCCTTTCGAAAGGAGTGACTGGGAAGAAGGGAAAGCTCCATGGGAAAAATAATAACTTACCCAAAGGATAAAGTAATTATCTTTTCATAGTGTTGGACACTTTAAATTAGATCACAGGCACAGCACTGCATTTCCGAGCTGCACTTTTTTTGCTGTGGAGGTAGAGTGAAGAATTCAAATTCTAGCATTTGGAATTGGTGGCAATAATTTGTACAGCATATCAGACTGTTCAGGGCTAAATACGAGCAACATCCCGAAACAAGGGAAAAACAAAATTTTGCAAATTGCTCTGCTAATTAAGGTAAATTCAAAGCACACCACTTGGTAGACTCTTGAGTACAAAATGTTGTAGAAAGAGCTAGTAAAGGGGAAGAATAATCCTTGAGAAAAATATTTCATTTGTAGCTATTTTCATTGTTTCACTGTTCCTCCTACATGAAGGAATAAGCAGATATTAACCTAATTAGCTACAGATTTTCCTTCTGTTCTTTATAGCTTTAAAGCAAGAAGGAGGTGTGTTCTTCTAAGTCTTGTACATGTCTATATTAGATGAGCTTTTTTGTAAACCGTAGGATTTTCACAGTGCTTAATTAGCCTCTCAGTTGGGCAAGGCAGACCTCTTACGGTTTTCCTTCTGGTCATTTGAGTGTGGGCCAATCTACTTAAGTAAATAATAACCAAGAGACCTCACTTCAGTGATCCCCAACTTGCTGATTTATAGGCAAAAATGTTGTGCAGATAAAATGCTATTCCTTTTAAAATTTAGAGAAGACGACTGAATTTTAATTTTGTGAGGTGTCACAGCTGCTTATGGTCATCCTGCACCACATGCAGCCTGTGTTTATTTTCTCTCTAGAAGTGGGGGCTGCCAAATAATACCAGCCTGTTCGGAAGAGGCATGGAGTAACAAAAGGGTAGGGCCAGGGAAATGCCTATTTTGTTTGGGGGACAGGATAGCGGATGAGGAAGAAGAGGAGGAGAACTGGCCATGGAGCTGAGCCAAGGCAACAGCATTTCCAAGAGAAAGGTTAGCCATAGTTGGGATGGGAGCTTGCTGGATGCATTTCTTTTAAACATCCAGTTCAGTGATTATAACAGCCTGTTCTACTAAGGCATTGGTAGCCACCTCCAGCATAACCTGGCTTCTCTCCTCATTGTCTTACCACTAACCGCAAGGGAGATCTGTGCTTAAAAGCTCTCCCTTACCTGAGAAGCTGTTCAGATTCTGAACTGTACTGCCAGTACAACTTTCCCCCATTAACTAAACATGCTGCATGCAGTTAGTAATTAGCAATAGGCATCCTTGAAATGTAGGCCTGGTACCTGGTGTGCTACCAGGAATTGAGTCATTCCATAACTGCACAGAGTTCATACTGGTTCCACTCAGTATGGCCTGCATTGTAACACTTCCAAATCTGTGTGGCCACATATGGCTGTGACTACAAAATGGAAAGTTACTTGACAGTGTAGCTTCATTTTATATGACCACATTAGCCCTGTCATTCAACTTGGGACCTACTATACTAGGTGTAGTTATTACTGCACTGCGTCTCACAAAATAACTGGAAACTGAAAATTATCTTCCTTGAATTTTAAATAAAAGAAAGAAGGATGCATCTGTTGTGCAAACTATTCCAGAAGCATGTAACAGTAGATGGCAAAAGTCATTGTGTTAATACATTGGCCAGTAGTGTTAAATTCATAAATTCAGTGGGAGAGTAAATCTTATCATGGCAGATGACAATCTATTTTAAAAGTAGGTTGATCAATGCACCTAAAACCATATCAGCAAAACATTGATCTAGAAAACCCATTACAGCTGTGATTTGCAAGTATGAAGCTGCAGGATATTGTGTTTTTCAGTTCAGTCTCATGTGAAGAAGGCCCAGAGCTAAACACTGAAGATCTGGAACACTTTAGCACCTAGTTCTTCAGCACTTCATTGTTAGATGTGGAATCTCATGTCAGTTCACTCTCAAGGAAGTATGGACATTAAACCCTTTGTGATCAACATATTTGCCCAGAGCAGAAGTAGTAACTGGTAAAGCAGTACCAAATGTGTCATGCGTGGAATATAGATGAGGCAGGTTTGTTTTCTCAGATGTTGCCTGACAGACCACTGACAACATCAGGTGAACTGAGAGAAGCCATAATGTAGAAGGAGCAGTAATCTTCCCTGCTGTGTGTGAATGTTGATGGCCCAAATAAACGTAGTCTTGTCATCACTAGTAAAGTAGAAAAGTCGTACCCTTTAAACAGTTCAGCCCACAGATGTGCTGCAATTGGTCTGTGAACTAGAAGGCAGAGATGGTGAATGGGTTTTTGCAATAAATGAGCATTTGACCTTAAAACGAAATGTGAAAAGTTCCATACTTCTCTGCTAATGGACAATATTCCAGCCTTTTTCATTCCCAAAACCAGTAGACTATGATTCTCACTACCAGTGCTGCCTTATGGGTTTCATGTCATTCAAAATCAGTGGTTCGATCCAGAGGACAAAACTAAGCTGGGATAAATTGTGGAATCAGTATCATCTAACTTTAGGCGTTTACTTTAGGATGAGGTGAATCACTCCTTAAAAGTTCCACTTTTTTCCATTAGAACTGTGAAGGCAGTTCACTAGGTCGAACAGTGACATCATTTAGTCAGATAGATGTGTGGCAAGGGCTATGAGATTTAAGTATGAAAATCAAATTTGTTCTTTAGTCATAACCATTGTGTAGCTGGGTCTCAGGGCTGTGCATCTGTGCACACTTATGGCACTTAAGTTACTTATTCCCTGGATGGTGCAGGAACTCAAAGGCTAGTCATCTGCACAGATGAGACAATGGACTTGTTTGAGACAATGGGCCAAGTTGAAACTAGGTGTTTGACTGACCCGCTAGCAACCTGCACAATGAATATTTGACTGATTGTTACAGGAGCTCTCCCAGTGGGCATTTCAGACAGTTTAGAGGTTTTCCCAGGCACCTCTTCTGTGCCTAGACCAATTTGTATGCTTAAATGTGTTGATTAACATCTTAGGTGGAGAAATTGGTTGTACCAGAGATTCCTAGACAATTCCTGCTGCAAAATAATCAATTCTACGTAGATAAGACACTTGCAAGTAGTCAATGGAAACTATTCCTACGGATGTGGAAATGGTCATGTAGGACAGCGTGTACGTACCTAACGACAGTTAGGAGGTGATATTTATGTAGTTTAAGATAATATGTAATGATGGATCATGCGTGTGCTAGAGACAGGATGACAGGCCAGCTGGATTATAAGAACTGGGCAGAAGAGTGTTTCAGGGAGTCTCACTCAAACCAGCTAAGATGCCCTGTTGCAGTGGAGACTCCCTTCAATATCCATACAGCAACTGATTGTCCTTTTTGAGAGTCTGGATTGCCATCACAGGAATTACTCTAAGCCAAAATCTCAATATTAGGTTAGCTTTTTTTTTTTTTTAACAAACACTCTATTCATGAGTATCTGTGCAAGAGATGACACTAAAAACAGCTACAGTAGCCATCCCATTTCTTTGTTACCAATGGAAGCTTTTCCAACATATGGTAGCATTGGTGGGGCTGTATCTATCATATATGGCCATTAACCAACTTTGGAAACATGTTCAAGCAAGTCCTTCCAACAGAACTGCAGATAACCGTCTGCTGAACAAGGGAGGAAAGAGTTTATTAAGAAGTGGGAATGTGTGAGATGATGTCTGAGGAACAGGTTGTTAGCATGAACTGCAGAGGGTAACAGCAATGACAACAATGTTGATAAAGCCTCAAATAACGAAGCTGACTAGCATTTTCCAGTGTTCCACAATCTTCCTTGTCAAGCAGTCACACTTGATGTTGCAGAATTATTCATCCATAACAGTTTATTTCCACAGGATTAGTAACTATCTGCAGACTATCATTGATTATAATAATTACGTTGTATTTGCATTGCCCTGCATACAGATTATATAGCGTTTAAAGGCAATACATGATTATCTGGTAAGTAGTTCATTGTATACCTCAGAGGCAGACATACAAAATCATAAAGCAGACATATTTTCCTCCTTTGTTTTCCCCTTACATGGAAGTTCTAATTGTTATTAATGCAATACAGGAGGTGAAACACAGCATCTATTTATGTTAACATTCAGATGAAGAGTAGTAGGTATTTATTTACAGTGTCTCTACAGCATTATGCTTTTGGTCAAATTTTGTCATGTTATGGTGGGTTTACAATGCTCCTGCATTTCACTAACCTTACATCTTTCTGTAAATTGTTTTCCTGTGGATGTCATTGAAATAATACACATTGACTATTGCTGTTCTTCCTGCCCTTTCCCTATCTTCTTTAAAGCATAAATAAAAAAAGAAAAAATATGAACTGCAGATTTTAAAAAAAACAAAGCCTATAGACCAAACATTGTACAGATTTTTCATAGCTTGCATGACTAGTTTTAGACCTGAATTTACTTCTTCCCACACTACAATTTAGATTTTGTGCATTTG